CCACGTTTAAGGTTTCTGTTCTCATAGTATATGACAGACCAAAAATATATTAAAAGCATCTCTCTCAAATAGCCTCCCTCCAACCCCCCACCCCATTCCCCACCCTCCCTCCCCTGCAATAACCTACTACAGTCAAAAGAGCTAAGTAAATACGTTATACACATATAGCTATAAAAAGCGGAGAGTTGACATCCAATCCAAATGAGCCTGGAATCCTTTGGCTTTCTTCTTCTTTCCAATTTCAAGTTTAAAAGAAACCATAACGAAACAAAAACAAAATAAAATGTAATGTACATTCACAACAATAACTATTTGGTTAAAAAATGAACAGAATCAACATTTAAGTAACGGATATTAACAATAAAATACCACGAATTAAAGAACATTTGGTTCAAAATAAACTGAATCAACACTCAAATAGGGAACAGTAACAATAAAATGCAACATATTACTGAACATGTTGATTATCTTGAGGTGAGAAAGTTCAACTTCAGGAGGTCAACATTATGATAATGAACAATATTTTTACAGATCAACAGGCATATCGATAACTGGATGCAAAACTCCAACAAACGTCATTGGGAAAAAGTGCTCAAAACAATGAAATGCTTTTAAAAACAACAACAGAATAGCATGCAAGTCTTGCATAAATATCAGAGAGAGAGAGAGAGAGAGAGAGAGAGAAAGAGAGAGGGAAAGAGAAAGAGAGAGGGAAATAGAAGGGTGGGGGAGGTGAGAAGAGCCAGAGAGAAACAGAATGAGTAACTTTGAAAAATAAAAGGAGAAGAAGACTGAAAAAAAGTGCAAGTCTCATTACAGATACTAGATGTAAAATACTAACAATGTTTTACACCCAGTACTGCAACCCGAAACTGAGTGACATATGATGAGCTCAGACTTAATTGAACATTGTAAAAAATGGGGAAAGAAAGAAAAAAAGTGAGCATCTCAATCATCTAGTGGCCTAGATTTGAGCATGTCTTTCTTGGTTCTTTTTTTTTTTCATTTCTTCCACAAGTCATTGAGGTATGAATATGAAAATACAGGTTTTTCCACTGTGAAATGGAGAGAAAGTCAATAAAATTGTTGATCTGTATCTTCTGTGTAGATGCCATACAGTCTGTATTCTATCAAAACCAACAGGGTTGTATAATCATTGCTGCCCTTTTGTTAACTCTACGACTGTAAGAACAAGATAAATTTTGTAAGATTCTTTTCCAGTACAAATATAACTCTTAAATATGTAATATCATTCTTAAACAATAGAATGAGATAGTCAGTATGTTCCATTTGTCATTTTAAAAGTTAATAATATTGATAATATTTGCGCACGGTATCTAAAAAACTTCACAATCTGATTGCTTTTTGACTAACCTTTTAAGAATAAAAGAAAGCTTTAAAATTCAATATCGCAACAAAAAGTGTGCTTTATAAAGTAGAAACCAAAGAAGAAAAGATTAAGTGCCCTTGTATTCTGCTCACATAAAACGAGATCCAGACACCAGCATAGTCACAGTATGCCCAAAAATAAATATCTATGTACAGTGGGGTCCGCTTCAATCGAACACAGTCAATCTGAACTGTTGTTCAAGGAAAGAAAATAAAACCCCCGAATTTTTTTCTTTGCTGCTTAAAGGATTCACATGGCGCTCATTTTTTTATGACCTTATGCAGTTGTGAGCGCCGTAAAACATCTACTAAAACTAACTAAAGGATTCACTCAATACCGAAAACACAGCTAAACAGAAGAAAATCAGATGTTCTTGCAGATGATTTCCATTCAAGCTGACCCCACTATATCATCATCAATATTTTGATCATTCTTTCTCTGAATGCTTCTCTTCAGTATCATGTATATATACAGATCGATACTGTCAGTTAACAAGGAGGATTCAACACAATGCTTTGCACCCCCAACAACACATGAGACAACAGACATGAGCTACCTGGACTCAACTAGTAAATTATTTACAACATTTACAAGAACAAACAAAAATAAATCTGTTAATCCAACAACATTGAAGATCTTCTGCCACCACAGGCGACAATTTTCAGATCTGAAAATCCTTCATTCATAATGTTAAGGAGAAAAGGAATGAGGTAAAAGTTAAACTTTAGCCCTGTTAAAACTTACATGACTTAATGCGTACACCAGGGGTCACCATGAAGCAACATTTTGTTCCCAGTGACGTTATACACCCCCCTCCTTTAAAAAAAAAACTAACCCCCCAAC